CAGGAATGATTGCGGGCTATACTTGGCTTCTCGTTCTAAGGAGGACATGTGCTAAAAAGTGCAAATAAGGTTACTGGATGAAAACATTTTTCATTGCAAAAAACTATATACTGTCTGCTTTCAGAACACGCGCTGTTATAGTGAATGCAAATGGCAAACGCAGGCCAAGGGGGACCAGGACTTTAAACCGGATCCATCCACTAACCTAGTGACTTGGGCCATGTTATTAACTTGAATGGCCTATTCTTGTGTATAAAGTAATCTGTAGTTGCAGTTGGTAGTGTAATTCATTTTATTAGATGCAATCCTCTTGAATATTTTTCCCCTTTACTTTCCCTTTATTTCATCCAAAATTTTGGGTTGATTGAATTTTGAATGTGTAAGTTGTCCTTGTACAATTCTAGACATTAAAGCAGTCATCAAATTCAAATGTATCATGTTCATAAACTTTTGAAATGATTAATGAAAGTGGAAGGTAAATTGATGCGCCGTTCATCATTTCTTCTAATTGATTGTTAAAGAGGTGGAATATGTTGTGTGGTAAACATCATCGGCTACTGAGAGTAACCAGTAATCTTTCTCTCTTTCTTCCCTTTCATCACCTCCATGAAACAGCTAGTCTTTTTCACAAGTCAACGTTAATGACCAGGAACTACTTGAAGTTTCCATTTGCCAATGTGTTGGAATAATTTGTCACTCATCCTAAATTTTTATACTATCTCCACCGGATTTTATGGTAACAAAGAAATGGAGCAGCTCTGGATTTCTCTATCTCTCTCTCTTATTCACAAAAGGGGATTTAGGTTGTGTTTGGATTGAAGGATGGATTTGGAGGAGTGGAAAAGGAAAGATTTGAAGAGAATATGCTTTGCCCCATACGGAAGGAAGCCAAACACCTAAATTACACCATATGGGTTAGCTTATTTCAAAGTCAAAAATTCTTTTTTTTTTTTTTGTTATAGCATCCTTGGAGAGATTTGAAAAAAGAAATAATTATATCAGCCAAAAAAGACTTTCCCAAAAAATGCAAGTGACCTTGGAAGGAGCTTTAGATTTAAAAAAATAATAATAAAAATAATAAGGTGGAATTATTTTCCAAACAACCATATGCTTTGCACCATACGGAAGGAAGCCAAACACCTAAATTACACCATATGGGTTAGCTTATTTCAAAGTCAAAAATTCTTTTTTTTTTTTTTGTTATAGCATCCTTGGAGAGATTTGAAAAAAGAAATAATTATATCAGCCAAAAAAGACTTTCCCAAAAAATGCAAGTGACCTTGGAAGGAGCTTTAGATTTAAAAAAATAATAATAAAAATAATAAGGTGGAATTATTTTCCAAACAACAAATGAGTTGAGAATAAAAAAAAATTAAATTGTAAGCAAACACCCCAAAGGAATCAAGAGACTCAGAAGGACTGTCAGTTCATTCATGACTAAAGTAAAAACAATTAGATTCCCAACTCAGTATGGTTTTGATGTTTAACGTGTGTAACAACACCTCCTTTGTTAAGAAGGAAAGACCCCCCCCCCC